CATGGGTTCTCCTTGGCTATGCCAAGGTACTGGTAGCCACCCTGCGCACCAGCTCCTGCCATGCTTAAAAGCACCGTAAGATTGATTTTGAGGGCTCTGCAAGCTCAGCCAGCTGAAACGATATATGTATCAAACCTGCCTACCCTTTGGATGCAAGGAAGCAGTCCTGACATGTACTTCTGGTAGTTCATGAACTGCTGCCAGTCCATGTATTGCTTGTAGTCGTTCAAGTATTTCCTCAAGCACTTGAGTTGAAGACAGTGAATCAAACTCTTGAGGCGTTTATGCTTTCAGCAGACTTTCACTGTCAACAAATGCAGAGTGCGTGTGGTGTACATGCCACGACCTTCCAGCTACGCTCACTGCCTTCTTTGGTGGGAACATTTTAGCCCCACAGCCCAATCGCCACATGTCTGACATCCTTCGAGGCCAAGGAACTGGAAACTCTGGGCGTTGCCTGGAGCAAAACATAGCAAAAGCATGGCAGTTGGGTAGCATGCTAAAACTCAACCCTTACAGAGCTACCACAAAATCCTCAACAGTCGGGAATGGGCACCTGAGTCGCCCATGAAGGCAGCAACGTCTACAGGCGCCTCGCAGCACCAGGAAAGCGTGAAATCCAAATGTTGTTCAAAATTAATTTTGATTAATGTCAGGTACTTGAGACCACTTGCTTCCCACCTTTCCCCGAATCACCAGGCCTGGCTACTTTGGCCCATGTATTTCTTGAAGTCCATGAACTGGTTGAAGTTCATTGCCTTCATGATATTGCAACCCAGATCGTGGCATTACTTAGTTTGCTAGAGTTACACTGGGCCGTGAAGGCTCAGCGAGGAAGGAGTTCCTGAAGCAAAGCCATCCTCATGTAAAGAAGCACTCGGTGTGTGTCCAACTAAAGTTACTAAAGTTGTTCAAACGGACCTTACAAAAACTGTTCCACCATCTCAAAAGTCCTTGTCAGCTGAGGACAACCCAGCAAGCATGAACAATGATCATCAGTTCATCAAGTTAACTCTGTCGAGGCGTTTCACTACTCGTCCATCAAAACACCTCAGTGGCCACGATGCACAAATAATAGGGTGCCTTGTGACCTTGGCCATGCACGTACTTGGAGTAGTCCATGTACCTGAGATGCACTTTTCAAAATTACACAAGAACTTGTAGCATCATATCGAGGCTGAGGCCTATGACATCTGTGAGTGACCCAGATCACGCTTTCTTGGTTGATCAGATTTAAAAAAAGGAAGCTACTCTTGCTCATCGATAGAACTCTGCGTCAAAACCTGTTTCACCGAAGAAAGGCACTTCCAGGTGCATGGTTTCGGGAGAGTCACAACCAGCCACGAAGCGCCTATAGCCTATAGCCCTTGGTTGGCCACGGCCACCATTGATTCTCCAAGAGATGTCCCTTCTCGCATGCTTCATGAACAAACTCTTGGTGAGTGGGTTCTGTTCTTAGTTTTCAGGGAAAGGCTACCATGGTTGGACAGAGATGGACAGGTGTCCAAGGCTAAAATTTGAAGTTCCTGACAAAAATCTATAACACTGAAGGATGCAAACGAGCACAAAAATCGATCCATGGAGTATTCTTCAAATGCTAGCGATTGCGTGCCACAAAAAACTTGCTTGCCTTAGTAATCCAGAAAAAAGAAATATACATGTCAGACCTGCAGCAAATGGTAGATCAGAAGGAGTACTTTGTGGAGAACAAACCAAAAACATTCACCTGGCCACGCACCAAGCTGTTGACTGCCGAAGCACTGATCAGAAGGAGATCCTCCTGATCCTGCTTGGGACATGTACTTCCTGGCAATGGGCAATGGGAGCCCGCGCTTCGACCGAAAATTGATTGCCCCAGTGTGGTTTTTGACAGCTACCTGCTATCTGCAACAGTTAGACCTCCGAAGAAACCAAACTGGTCTACATGAAATCACAGAAACGTAACCGGTCAAGCGCTGGAAGGTAGGCAATACTATCGCAATGGATTGCACGATGTCTGAAGACCTACGGACCGACAAATGAAATACATGCTGATCATCGGGTCATCAATATAGTATGCATGGAAGGTATCTGAAATGCAGCGACATCACTGTGAGATCGTCTGCGACAACTGCACCATTCGATCCCACCCTCGCCCTTGGAGCAAGGCACTTGAAATCCATGTACTGCTGGAAGTCCATGGATTGCCCACCTTTGCCACCTGTGTACTTGGACCAGTCCTGACTCAAAGCGATGATTCACTTGGTAAGCCAAGAAATGCACCAAGCATGAAAGCCATCAGCTTGACAAATGCTTCAGAAGGTTTAATTTATCTTCTCCGTTTCTGTACTCCAATGGTTGAACCAGCCGAGGCTCCATGTAGTTCTGGTACTGGTCCATAAACTTCTTAAAGTCCATGTACTTTTGGTAGTCCCTCGGTCAAATGGTTTGCAAGTCGCTGCACTGCTTCTGCAAAAATGCACTGCTGACTGTGCAGTGCAGCGGAGCACGCTGAAATGGATCACTCAAAGCTGTTGCAATTCTAAGCGCAAGCAAAGAGTATATATATACTCCCAAGTGCCTAAGGCCCAAGACAAGGCAGAAATCCACTACGTCCCACTAATTGCCACTTGTGCAGACTCCAGTTCGATGAACCCCCTCGAGACAGCACAAAGGGAGATATTCCAAGCTGCAAGAAAAAGCCGGACGAGCAACGTTAAACAAAAGTTGAAGAAAATTTAGCATTACTCAGGTGTTTGAGTCATTAGCCACACTTTCCTGCACAAGCAACACTCAAGGCATACCTACTCTACACCTGGGCTTTCTTGCAAATAAGCACCACCGGCACGGACCCCCGGCACCACCGTGCTAAGTACGTCCCTTTCCTGAAAACCTCTATAGAAGCTAGACCTTTTTAAATCTGGCTGCAGCAAATGCACTGAGTGTTGTCCTTCTCCTTCTTCTCCTGAGGCTTGCTCTTTGCTTCATGCTCCTGCAGTTGGGTTCTCAAACCGATTTCAATTGGTTGATCCCTGTGGTTGGAAGTTGGAAGCACAGCCTAGCCGCTGGTTCGTGGAATACGGTAAGCTGACTTTGGTGATTCCCCAGCTGAAAACATGTTGAAGCACGCAATCTCTAGTGAAGCCCCCCATTTGTCAATCTGGTACAAAGGAAATACAATGCTGGATTAGATGATGCAAAACTGCAGGTTGATAGACAAAAACGCTTGATAAGGTAGTTGTTTCTAAAACAAACAACTCTGTCCTTCTCCTTCTCTGAGGTGCCTTTCTCCTAGACACATTATGCAATCCCAGGATGGAAATGTATCACAGGGTCAGTGTTAGACTTGAGGAAATTGCAATGAGGGCCTCGAGAAAACATCGGGTGCCTAGGTTGCTTGCCACGTTGCACCCGAGTAGGAACCCAAGTAGGTCTGCCATCTCAAATCGCAAAGTTTGGCTGCCAAAAAACCTCTGGGAGCCAAGCTTGCCCTTGCATCATCTATATGTGTTAGCCGAATGCTAGTATCTTGGTGGCAATAATTTGGTGGTGGCAACGGTGGCTCAAGTCCATCTGCAGAAAAATGCGCACTGATCAAGCTTGGCTTGATTGTCACAAGTGTCACCATGACACTCAAGGGTCGATTTGTCCAGTTCCCCTTTGTGGGCTCTACCCCAGCCATGGATCCTAGCATGGCAACCCCCTGCAAAGATTCCCTGCACCTCAGCAGCTAGCATTGTTGGGCCTAGGACAGGGAAGGCCGAGGGAGGGATGGAACTTGATTTGGGCTCACATCCACGCAAAAGCTAATTACCGAATGCCGAGTAGTTGAAAATTGGTGATGTCAAACAGTATCCTCCTCACTTGCTCAAGTCCAAGTCCAAGGGAGGTCAGTTACATGGGTTTGATGATCACAGCCACTGCCAGTTTCTGAGGATATCACTCGCCCCAGAGTCATGCAGGAATGCTTGGTACCTCAGGTGCAAGCCGGCATCTTCCCAGAAAGCCGGCATTTGACATTTGGTTAACAGCTCAGATCAATTCCCAGAAATTGGGTCGTTGAGCTTTGGTCATCTCAACAATTGCTGTGCCCTCCGAAATATTCCGCTCACCCTCCAGACCAGGGCACTGAGCAAACTCCTGGTACTGCTGAGGCACCTAGAGGGAACGAGTAACAACTGTAACAACAAAGAATCGCAAATCAAAGTGTTGTAGCAAAGCCCACAAATTGTACAACTTGACCAATGAGGTTGCTCAACTTGGTCGTCTCTGCTGAGCTTAGCCTCAAAGAACTCCTTGATTTTTCTATGCCCACTGAAAAGTTATCTAGCCATCAGGTGACTCTGCACGGCTTTTGCATGTCCAACAAAATAGACTGCTGACCCATTCCGGTCCGAAAGAAGAATAACAACAAAAGCAAAAGCAAAATGCCCTCCATACTTTGTCTGAGCTTCCTTTGGAAGTGTTTCTTGTCTGCAAGGCCATGGAAGCACTCATTGCAGACCGGCCCAAGGCACCTTGGAGTTGACCTTGGAGTTCATGAATTTCTGGTAGTCTGGCGCAGCAGGCTCCTGCTGACCTCTCGGGAGCAGAAAGCTGGAAAGCCTAACGCTGCGACGCTTTCTCCGGGAACAAAGGATGCCACCAAGAGGTCACATTGAGAAGGCCTGCGGAGGTCACATTGTATAGCCACCCTTGGCTGAAGTGTTCCTCCTACCAGTGACTAGTGGCTACTAGTAGACTGGCATGAAAGGGACAAAGCGCAAGTCTGCGAAGGTTGCTATCCTTCACGAAGATTCTGTGGACTCTCCCACATTCCAGGTCAAGCCAGGAAGCCAATAATCAAGCTAAAATGACAAAACGCCTCAAGATCTGGCTGGCCTTGGGTAAACTTGGCAAAGTCCAAGTATTCCTCGGGCGCATTCAGGGTATTTGTCTGGCAACACACATCCTAGGAAAGCACATGAAAGCAACATGATTATGAAAGAAGTCAACAGCAGCTGGAATGGTCTGACGTTTGTGCCAGCTTTGCTAGAGGGAAACAGAGAATAGGAACCGCCCTGATGTGTCAGCTCACCGTCACACTTGTTGCCTGGTGATCTGACACATACACCATCTCTTTTCGTTCTTGCTCTGAGAGGTAGTTGGCACCAGCCAGATGATCATTCCAATCCTTCATGTGGCCATGCTTGGCATTGTCAATCACCAACAAGTCCTTAAACCGCAGTGCTGATGGGTTGTGCAGGAGCTTCCATCCAAGGCTTGTCATGGAGCGCCATTGCTGCTGCATTTCTTGGCTAGCATCAGCCATGATCCCTGCATGTGCAGCTTTTAGGCTTTTTGACAGCTGCTTCAAGCAAGCCTCACTCAGGTTCGAATGGCAGACAATCAGCAATGCCTGCAAATACAAAACAACTGCAGTTGCGTCAAGTTGATGTGGTCTGGCACGTAGCAAGTCGTCCAAAGTCTGAAGAGCAGCAGCGGGTCTTCCAACCAAAATGCTTACCTTTGCATGAGCGGTGTAGCAAACGGTATTTGGAGAGACCTGAAACTCGTGCACCAAGGTACTCCACAAATAACATGCTCTTCTCCAATTTTGAGTGCTGCCAGACGCATTGACCAAATTACCAAGAGTTACAACGTTTGGTGGCTGAGTTGATGAAGCCATCTGACACAGCAACTGATCCACTTGCCTATAGAGTCCACTCTTTTCATAGAGTGAAAGCAGGGGTGTGTAGGACGTGACGTGCATCTTGAAAGGCTGTAGAGCTGACCACTTCAACACTTCGGAGGCCCAAGGCAAAGAATCGTCTCCAATGGCATCACACAAGCTCAAAACACTACCAAGAGCAACAGTATGTACATCTGCATCATCTGCATGCAACTGAGACGGCATGCTTTGCCATACCTCTATTCCCAACGCAAAGCCCACTTTCTTTCTCTGGCTAAGAGCAGTCGGAGGCAAGCTTCTATCTTTGAGGCACGATGCAATTGCAGCCAAGAAAATGCACTGCTGTGTGACTTCCAGACGTAAGCCATGTTTCAACTGCCTTTGGCGTACTTCGAGCAAAGTTTCCCACCAACGAGAATGACCACACTTTTGAATCGCCGCACCTATGACGCTCGCATCAACTTCCTTTCTGCACATTGCCTCCGCCAAAGCTTCAAGTAATCCCTGACCTGACTTTGACTTTTTTAGTTCAGATCGCCACTTGGAAAATCTGGGATTGCGCTCTGTCTCTGATCCCTGGGCATCTGTGGGTCTTGCAAGGAAGTACAAACGGTCGGACTGCTCAAGCTGCTCGCGTCCGGTTGGTCGCTCGAAGGTCTCTAAGGGTCTCTGGAGCATCCGACGCCGCTTGGAGGGAGGAACCTCGTTGGGCCTTGAGTGGCTGAAGAAACGCACTGTCGCGGGAACAGGCCCAACGCACAGTCGCCCAAAGGACAGTTCACTGGGAATAGCACGAGCGAGCATCAAATCAAAGGGCTCAGGTGGCTGAAGTATCTACTCGTAGGTCTCATATCCCTGGTAGGTGGACAATTACTATACAGTATATATATATATTAGGATGTCAGTCCAGGCCTGTGTCTGATGCTAACATGGAATCTATGCCTGGATTGGAAAATGTATGTTTTGAGTTGTTCAGCTAAATAGAAAAATGCAAAATATGTTTAAACGTTCAGACAACTACAAGGCTGTTTAGCTCAGGAAAGGAGAAGTTCCAACCACCGTGGTCCATGGAGAAGAAGCTGAACAGGAGATGTCGAAGAGTAGAAATCTGATACCATATAACTGCTTGCAATCGGGTGCTTGCAAAATTATATGAATGATGAATGGCCTCTATAGCTTACGTATATTTATTGTATCATGTACCTAAGCTCTAACAGCACAAAGGCTTCTGCAATATGAATTGCAAACCTGCTGTCCTCTCCTATTGATCAAATTGCTAAGGGAGGCAACATGTGCTGTCTAAATAGATCCTTGAAACCAGGGAGTTTGGTTGTTTTGGTTCCAAGCAAACAGACTTCCTACTTGCCAAAGTGCAATCGCTGTTCCAGAATGATGATGCAATGGAGCCATCAAGTGCACGGTTGTCCAAACAAACGCTGCCGCAGAGTCATGGCCAAGATTAAAAGGAGGCCATCGCTCTTAAGTTGGAGGCCATTGCTTCTAGGTTGGAGGCCATCGAGTCGTGTCAAAGAAGTCCAAAGGCCCCTGCCACTGCACTGCCAAGGTGCCCTGTAAGATGGCGCGCTTTTGCCCTCGAGAGTCAGGTATCGTGAGAAATCCTCAAGTGAAATAGTGAAACAAGAGTTGAAAGCAAGTGAGACGATGTAGAGTAGTTGAATAAATAAGAGCATGTTTGTCTGTCTTTTCCCGCAACAATTAAGCTAGGCGACTTAGTTTCGATCCAGGTCTGGCGTTACAATTGCCCATGTTTGACAGGAGCTTTCTTCTCCTGGTACTGAGAGTGGCTATCCATGTATTTCTGGTAGTCCATGAACTCCTCACAACAAAACGGCAAACTCCATAGCACTCTTTTGTGACAGCTGCCCGGTGAATGTTTGGTCAGGGTTGGCAAAACAGCTCCAAAGACTAGCTCCATCCCATCCATCTGCATGTCCCTTGGTGCAAGTAGAATTCTTGCTGTAGCCTGAGAGGCGAATTCTGCTGACCTGGGGGTCATAAGAAATGACGCGAATGGTAAGATTATCAACAAAAACAATGGAAGAGATGTCGCCTAAGACGTGCTGGGCAAATCAGGTCTAAATTGAAATACACTCACGTCAGAATATGTGCTGGTCCCTAGTCTGTATACAGGTGTCGTCGGTTAGTATACAATCATGCCCTGCAAGCTTCGCGGATAGTGGTGGCATGTGGCGGCACTAGCAGCTACTGGAGTGATGGGCAAAATGTCTAGGTAGAGGGACTTCTTGGGAATGGAAAGGGACTCCATTCTGAATCAAACAGGGGGGGCCGACCCAAACGATAGTTTTTGTCCAACCCTGCATGACCCTGCAAAGACATTGAGAAGAAAACGGCAATGAAATGGAGTCCGTGAAACATGCGCAAATGCAGGTTGCAGCTTTCATTGCGAGGTAAACTACAACACCCCTTCCCAACTTTCTTGCAAGAACTTCGTGCCCAATTTGAAGGGCTGACCCAAACAGAAATGCATCCGTTAAGAGCTTTCACTCAATTCGCCACGCAGGAGATCGGTCCTGCGGCTTGATCGTGTCACCACCATGTCCCTGCAAGTACTTTGAGTAGTCCTGGAGACAAGATTTGCTTTCCTCGATGGGTCAAAGTCGGATGCAGACCGTCCAAAGTCATGTACCGAATACTGCATCCTGTGCTTTTCTGCTAGCTTCATACGGACACTACCTGGACCCTTCAATGCACATGTTTGCTATCCGCGTCTCTTGCATACTGCTTGCTGACTGTCCTCGCCTGAAGATTGTTTTGTGAAATCAACTGTGATGGCTCCGTCATTTTGACTCAGTCTCATCCTCGTAGTTGAGGGCATGGTCTGGTGCATGTCCGTCCTGCAAGGATACAAGCTCTGGACATGGTTTCGACGTGCTTCGACCATCTCTGTCATCTATGGTTCGAGCCTAGTCTGCCGTCTGCCTCCGCTGCTTTCATTCCCCAACTTTTGGTGTTCCTTGCCTCGGCTGCATTTTGGAATTCCATGAGCTTCAGGTACTTCCTTAGCAGGTGTGGCTGAGAAGCAGATTAGTACAACCACAAGTTGGGCGGACCACCCAAACTGGTCAACCCATCCTCACCTTACTTTGTCTGACAAGAAAAAAACAATTTGTCCTTCAAGCATGTCATGACCCAAGACCTCTGACACACCCTCAAGGTCCCAAGGCCATTCGAGGCAGCCTATATACACACAGAAGCCCATCAAACCTTTTTCTCCAGTGTGAAAATATGTTGATTCTATCTGTGTGGAGCTTCCCCATCTCACTTAGATTGGAGCTGAAAGCTCATCAGGTCATCCCTCAGCGGATGGAGGCCATAGGTTTAAGAGAGAAGAAGCCAGACGAAACACCCGAAGGCAAACACATACTCGAAAACAAACACCCAAACAATTTTTGACAACTCTCGTAGGAGAAACTTTTGTGGGACACTCTTGTAGGCACATTCTTTTCGGAAAGATTTGTGGGACACTCTTGTGCACTCTCGTGGGACACCTTGTATCACACTCACTCTTGTGGGGCACTCTTGCAGAACACTCTTGTAGGACACTCTCGTGGGACGCTCTTGTAGGACACTCTTGTGGGACACTCTTGCAGGACACCCTTGTGGGGCACTCTTGCAGGATGCTCTTGTTGGACACTCTCGTAGGACACACTTGTGGGACACTCTTGTAGGACACTCTGGTTTGACATTCTTGTGGGACACTCTCGCGGGCCACTCTTGTAGGACACTATTGTGGGGCACTCTTGTGGGACACTTCTTGTGGGATACTCTTGTGCGACACTCTTGTGGGACACTCTTGTTTGTCACTCTTGCGCGACACTCTGGTAGGACACTCTTGCGAAACAGTCTTGCAGGACACTCTTGTGGGACACTCTTGTACATCACTCTTGTGGACACTCTTGTCGGGCACTCTTGTGGGGCACTCTTGCGGAACACTCTTGCAGGACTCAGCTCTTGTGGGACACCCTTGTGGAACACTCTTGCGGGACACTATTGTGGGACACTCTTGTAGGACACTCTTGCGAGACAGTCTTGTAGGACACTCTTGTGGGACACTCTTGTATGCCACTCTTGTGGGACGCTCTCGTAGGACACTTTTGCGGGGCACTCTTGTAGAACACTCTTGCGGAACACTCTTGTAGGACAATCTTGCGGGACACTCGTGGGACACTCTTCTAGGACACTCTTGTGGGACACTCTGGTATGGCATTCTTGTTGGACACACACTCTTGTGGGACATTCTTGTAGAACACTCTTGCGGGGCACACTTGTAGGACACCCTTGTCGGACACTCTTGTGGCGTACTCTTGTAGGACACTCTTGTCGGACACACTTGTGGGACAGTCCTGCAAAGGGCACTCTTGTGGGACACTCTTGTGGCGGACTACTAAAGTCTCCAAAAGTCAACCGTCACGTCTCCAGAACGAGCGTTTCGTACGAGACTTCCTCCAAAATTCACGCGTCAATGCTCCAAAACGAGCGTTTTGTACGAGACTTCCTCAAACTCACGCTTGTAGGAGACCTCCTCCAAAAGTCACCCGTCCAGTCTCCAAAACAACCGTTTCGTACGAGACGTCCTCCAAAAGTCACATGTCAAAGTCTCCAAAACAAGCATTTCGTATGAGACTTCCTCCAAAAGTCAAGTGGCCATCGGAGCACACACATCAAGCAGCCCTGCCAAGCAGTTTCGCGATTCCAGCCCCTCCAAACAGCGCCCACTCACACGCCAATCCCAATGTCACAGCGACATTCACATCCAACACAACTCGCAACCTCACGATTCCCTGCGCCTGCCACGAAAATTTACGTGTCCACACGTCTGACACACACAAAGTACGGCGCCTGCCACGAAATTGGAGCTCCGCCACACCTCGCAACCTCACGCTTCCCTGCGCCTGCCACGAAAATCGCATTTCCACACCTCAGAACCCGCACAAAGTACTGCGCCTGCCACGAAAAGTGACCATATCAGATCATGTGAGCTTCAACAAAATTTGCACCACACCACACCTTTATTGGAATGATTTCAACACGTTCTGAGCACACTCCCATCCACAAAAATCGCCATCCCAGCTGAGACTTGTCACGAAGACAGAGCTCCGACACAGCCCTGAAGCGCAAATCCCAATGTCACAGCCACATCCAACACCCCGAAAACACCACTCTCCAAACGCTAATCCCAATGTGACTGCGCAGAAACAGCGAGTCTCACAAAACGCTGCGCTTGCGCAGTCAAATCATCCTCCACACTTCAACATCTTACGTTTCCATACGATTCCTCGCTATTTCACACGAATCTCACACGTCACGTTTCCATCCGAAGCAAAAGCTTCCCCCAATGGCAGCGCCTTAGCGCCCTACCGCGGACGGTTGCAGACGTTTGCGAACGGTTGACAACAGTTGCGAACGCTGAGACAACGGGTCGCGAACAAGGCTCTACCAGAGTTAAACAAGAACCCTTTGCTACGCATTCGGAAAAACACCACATGAGCCTATTTCCTCCAGCAGTGGGGAGAGTGCTTATGCTGGAGAGCTTGCAGCTCCTTTTCCGTGCTCTTAACTTTTTCTCAATGGTGAAAACGTGTACGCAAAGGACAGAGGGTGCAGCAACAAGTTGAGTTTGATTACCGAAATAAGCAATCGCTGGAGCACCCTTTGACTGTGCTGCACCTGTCACATGCTCTACTGCGACTGGAGGGGCCCGATCCCCATAAGATCATTAGTCAAGTATTTGAGCACGTGTGAGGGAGGGAATTGTGAGTGGCTGAAGTGAATGGTTGAAATGAGGCGAGGAGTGTAATGCTGGCGAAAGC